TCCCTAGGTGCTGTTGGGTAAGCTAGGTGAGCCAAGCGTCTAATACTCTCACCGAGCTCCGGTAATGTCTCGGACACTATTTGTCGTTTATCTTTCAGCATTGCCCGATATAACTCTGTTTGATTGGCTGGTGCAAAGCGGTCTTCTAATGCATTACATAAATTCACATATGTACAAGCCGTACCTCCCTTCATGTTACCAAGGACAGTCTGTGCTGGTCCTCTCAATGGCGCTGCAAGATATAAACTTTTCCACATGTTTATATCACTGCATGCCTCAAAGTGAGCTTTATAGTCTATCCAAGACCCGGTTCCGTCGTACGTCGCTGGTTTCATTACGGTTTTGCCATATGAACCTCCTGCATCATTACTTTGTGTGCCCTGCGTACTCATATTAGGATTTTGATGGTATCCAATATGGGAACAATGTCCAGCTCCTATCCCTGTTGTCCAGGTCACACTAGTTGTCGCTGTTGAAGCACTTGGAGTACGCCAAGAGAACCCAGGTGTGGATCGTGCCTCGGAAAACACAGGTTGTCTAAATGAATTTTTCCTCACCGAGTCATATTTACTGGCTCCTCTCATGTCCCTATGCTCATCCTCATACAGCGTGTAACTTGATCGTGGGTAATCTATATGACTAAAAGTGTCCCTCATATTAGCTGCACCCTCTACGCCACGATTACTGGTCGTTTTTGATGTCAATTCATACAAACTATTTTCTAATAGTTTGTCTCTAACATCTACCCCGGAATCTGGAACTTCGTTAAAAATTGATATTGAAGTCTGGGGCGTCGACTTCATCCTATCTAATGTTTCTCTCAATTTTTCTCTCTTAGCATCTATTGCACTTAGATCAGCGTACAGTTCTGCTTCTAAATTATCCATGGTCATTCAAGGCTTTCTGTAGAGCCGAACGCCAACGTCGGCATGATGTCAGATTCGCACGAGTAGCTACTGGAGATCAGGAAAATATCAGAGAATCTCAAAAGGAATCAAGTATGAGGGATGAAATCAAGCAGCTACGTAATGAAATGCAGGAATCATTAAGATATATAGAAAGGAAAATTGCAGACATGGCTATGACAAAAGAGACTTCAAAAGCACCACGTTCTAATCATTCATTAAAACCAATTGCTTTCCCATATGAATGTTACAACTGCGGGAAGCGTGGTCATAGAATCAAAGACTGCTTCGTAAAGCTTCAGCAAACTAATGAGAGGATACAGAAATCCGAGTCAAACGGTGAACCAAAGACTGGCACAGAGACTAAACCGGGAATAAAACCAACCAAGTAGTGTCTAGTACAACTGCGGTCAACTAAGGACAATTAAAACAAGAAGCTGGCTTGTTCATCAAAGCTTTGGTGAATCATGTGCCATGCAATTTGTTGGTTGATACCGGGGCAACCTTGACAATTTTAGCGGATAGACTATACAATGAAATAGAAAGTGAAGGGGATGGTAGACTAGAGCCTGTTACTCAAAGTATTCTAGGTGCAGATGGAACACCCCTGCAGGTTAAAGGAAGAGGGAAATTTTCACTTTGACTTGGTGATAGTGAATTTAAATGCCATGCTGTTATTGCAAATATCAAAGCTGATGGCGTCTTGGGTTTAGATTTCCTCAAGTCTAACAAATGTTTATTAGACGTATCTGAAATGAAAATGCATATTTATGGAGTGGAACATAAACTGCATTTACAAAAACATATTGGATGTTTCTGTGTGAAACAAGAAACAATATCTAGGCATAGACGAAGGAAAGTTACATGTTCAGGTCAGTTGCATGCGTCAAATCTCAGCATGGTCACAAAGAGGCAAAAGTTGAAGAAGTCAAGTCAAGGAAAAACCAAAGCTAAAGTGACCAAACCTCATATCGGTCCCACTGACAGTTTGGCTCATGGTTTGTCTAATTGTAACAAAGGAAAGTTTAAATGTGAGCAGTGTGCTCATATCTTTGGCAAGAAGACTATGCTTAGAAGACACTTGAACAGAGCACATAATTGGAAAGAGCCAAAAGAAATCGTAGAGTCAGGACTAGTGGGGGAAAGTCTCCAAGGAAGTCCCCTGGGAGTACAGTTAAGGATAAGGTGTCGGATCCAGGAGAGCTGATATTCAAGGAGACAGATTTTTGCTGAACAATCCTTATAATGTGTCTGTACCTCATTCTGTTGCATGTGTTAAAATTAAAACATTTTTGTAACGAAAGTTTCTTTATAGCAATAGTGTTCCCTGAATTCCAGATAGTTTCAGCCTAAAAAAAATAATATAAATAGTAAAAAAAAATCGTTTAGTTTTGAATCAAATCACATGCGGGACGCATGATATCAGAGGCGTGGGTAATGAAATGGTTAAGGGGCGTTTGAATAAACACATAGAAGACCCACAAAAATGGAATGACCTGACTACCCTTGGAATAGAACAGTCCAAGGGTATATAAAGGGATGCTTTAGGGAAATCAGGCATTCAGAAGTTGGCTGAAGAAGCCAACAGATGAATCAGAAGCTGAGTGAAAAGAATAAAGTAGTAAGGCATTCAGAAGTTAGCTGGAGAAGCCGACAGCTGAATCAAAAGCTGAGAGAAGGGAATTGTAGAATAAAGAATAGAAGCATCAGTGGCAAGTAGTCCTAGGAAACTGATGGTAAGTTCTGAGTGTAGTAAATCTGAAGAAGATTGAGACACTCAGTTCTTATCTATCAATAGGAACCTAGGAAGAGAAACACGGTGCAAAAGCAATACCCAGTCCACGTCTCTAGATAACAAACAAAAATTTAATATAGTGTGATTTTCCCTCAGATAGAGCGGCCGTACAATTATTAGTACAATCATTAACTCAGATAGAGTAAGAGAAAAAGCTGTATACTGTACATATATCCCTTGTAGAACCCAAGCATACACGTTACATTTTGGTGGCAGCCGGTCAAGGGATAAAAGACACGGCTTTTTCTGATTAATTTTTTATTGTTGTCTACTTCACTTTGTTAACATTTGTGATAATATTGACACCAGGTACACTGAAGAAGTGATACCGGGTGCTATTGACACCGGGTGCTGGAAACTCGGTTCAGTGTTACCAAATACTGTAAAGCAGAGTAGTGATACCAGGTGTTGGGTACCAAGAGCAGTGGTACCAGGTGCAATATCACCGGGTTCTCTCTTTACCAGGTATATTACTCCTGAGTGTAGAGTAGTAAGATTTATTGAAACTGGGCACTGTGTGTCAAGTGTTGCAGCCTTAGGTCTTGTTAAGATTCAATCTCAACCGCCAAACGTATAGCATCATTTAGCGATTTAGGTCTCGATTGTTGAATGCGTAAGCGCATATCAAAATCTGTCAATGCATCAACAAACTGATCCTTGGCAATCATCTCAGTGACTTCCCTAGGTGCTGTTGGGTAAGCTAGGTGAGCCAAGCGTCTAATACTCTCACCGAGCTCCGGTAATGTCTCGGACACTATTTGTCGTTTATCTTTCAGCATTGCCCGATATACAAACTCTGTTTGATTGGCTGGTGCAAAGCGGTCTTCTAATGCATTACATAAATTCACATATGTACAAGCCGTACCTCCCTTCATGTTACCAATACAGTGTCACAACTGACCTCAAGTTGTGATGGATTCTTTATAGAATTTACTAACCAAAATAAATAATATTTTGGAAGACCTCCTGTGTACCAAGAAACAACAAGATTTATAAAAATTAACAATAAATTTATCTACATATGTACAATAAACATGAAAACGGCCAAAAGTTCAATCATGGTCATCACTGGACTTCACACTCCACACCACGTCCATGGTCCACCATATTGTCCATGTTGTCCACCATAGTGTCCCGTTCGGTCCACCATATCCTAAGTAGCCTTACTACGTAACAAATCCTCCCGTCCGAATAAAGATTATATACAATTCTGGTCACCTACAATTTTCATAGGGTTTTCTAATAAAATGTTCAAAACACTTATCTGTTCAAAATACTAGATTTTACAAACAAATTACAAAAGAAAACATGTATTTTTGCCGTTTAACAAGTAAATGAATTAGAGCGTAAATATATACATTCTCGCTATATTGCTAACCGTTTTACATCAAAATTGCTCTTTAAAGCTAACAACAAAAATATTGTAAAGTATAAAAACTTACTGAGCTGTGGCATTTTATACATAAAAACCATACTGTCGGCCCCCAGGTCTTGCTCTCAACGCCGCTACAAAACATCCCTGAATCCCAAGATCACACAGCAGGGGAAACAGCTAAAACACACCCAAGTTCACACAGCATGGGTTATATAAAAGGCACACCCAAGATCACTAAGCATGGGTAAAGTATCACTCACGGCGTCCAGACCTCTTCTGACAAACACTAGCCAACACCCAGTATAAATAACTGACCAAACTACTCAAACGGGTTCGACGAGTATACGTTGATAAAAATAGTAACAAGTACAACTCAGTGACCAATAGTGCGTAAATGAAATAAACGATAACTCCTAATGCCCAAATACAGATAACTCTTACCAAAACCTGGACAATAGCTAATATTAAACATTGACACAATGTCACTTGTGACAATACCTCCCTTCTTAAGACACAAAATGCAATTTTGTGACAAAAATGGAAAACTATGTACACAACAAAGTCTTTATGAATACGAACTTACTCAGGAACAACACGACTGAGAAAATCAGCTCCAATATTATCTACACCTCTAATAACTTCAGTTCTAAAGTTGAACGCTTGTAGAAAAAGAGACCATCTCATCAATCTGCCGTTTGAAGCTTTAGTCTTTTGTAAATGCAGTAGTGGTCTGTGATCTGTCTCCACAACAAACGCTCTTCCATACAAGTAAGACTGAAATTTCTGTATAGCCCATACGACAGCAAGACACTCTTTCTCCACCACCGAATAACGTTGTTCTCTGTCTAGCAGCTTCCGGCTTGCGTACGCAACAGGAAATGTACGTCCATCATGCTTCTGCATCAGTACTGCACCAACTCCATGATTAGATGCATCGGTCCTTAAGATGAATGGCTTCGTCAAATCTGGTAATCTGAGAATTGGACTATAGAGCAACATGGATTTTAAACTCTTGAATGAATTATCATGTTCTTGTTTCCAGTCAAATTTGTTTGGAACACCTTTCTTGGTTAAATCAGTTAAAGGAGCAGCAATGGTGGAAAAGTTTGGCACAAATTTTCTGTAATAGCCAATCAAACCAAGGAAAGATCTAACCTGCTTCTTTGTCTCTGGCCTTGATGCTTCTTGGATAGCTCTCAGCTTCTTGTTGGTTGGCTGTAAGGTACCTCCTCCAATAACATGACCCAAGTACTCTAGTCTCGTCTGCGCTAACTCACATTTTGATGGTTTTGCTGTTAATTGTGCTCTCTGTAGTCTCTCCAGCACTTTTCTTAGTTCTGTAATATGTTCTTCAAAAGTTTCTGTATGAATGAGAATGTCATCAACAAAACTATCAGTATGCTCTAAACCTTTTAGAATTTTCCGCATGAGTCTATTAAAAGTAGCTGGGCTGTTCTTCATACCGAAGGGCATTACTTTAAACCTGTACAAACCATCTGGTGTTAAAAATGATGTTAAGTCTCTATCTTCTTCTCTCATTGGAATCTGCCAATATCCCTTACATAAATCAAGTTTAGAAAAGAAACGACTGTTACTAATTTTAGTCATGATTTCATCTGGATCTGGCATTGGTTCTGGATCAAAAATCGTTACCTTGTTCAAGTTACGAAAATCCACACATATTCTCTGGCTACCATCGGACTTCTTTGCCACGACAATCGAACTAGCATACGGTGATTCTGATGGTTCGATGATATCCATGTCAATCATATGCTGTATTTCTTCTCGGACTGCACTTCTGACTGCATACGGTATCTGATATGGTCTGTTTCTGATTGGTTCTTTGGTAGTGAGATGAACTTCATGCTGGATAACATTCGTTCTACCAGGTAGATCTGTTAAAACTTCCTGAAATTCATGTAACACATCATTTATGTTTTCAAGCTGATCTGATGACAGTGAATGGTTTACCTTGACATCTTTGAATGATTCTGTTGCCTTCATTGGAAGAAGATGTAACAAATGTTCATTACTTGAGTCCTCTGTTTCTTCAGATTCCAAAACGACACAAGATGCTAAAGTTGTTGGCGAGTCTGTATTCCTTTCCTCTCGAACATTGTATTTCTTCAATAAATTTGCATGAAACAAACGAATATGTCCATTCATGTCTATCTGGTAATCAGTTTGTCCTTTTCTATCAACTACTTTGAAAGGTCCTTTCCACTGCATTAAAAGTTTGTTATGGTCTGTTGGAAGCAAAAGAAGAACGAAATCACCAACCTTGAAAGATCTCGGCTTTGTTCTTTTATCATACTGTTTCTTGTGATGGTCTTTAGATTTCTGAAGTTCTCTCTGAGCCAGCTCACACGTTCTTGCCAATCGCTCCTTCAGGTCAAGCACATACTGGTAAGTAGTTTTCACTTCCGGGTCCTTCTCTTCCTTTGTCCACAGTTCCTTCAAAACTGCCATAGGTCCCCTAACATTACGTGCATAAACTAGATCAAATGGAGAAAATTTAGTACTTTCTTGTGGAACTTCTCGATAAGCAAATAACAATGCAGGTAAGTATCTATCCCAGTCTTTTGGTCTTTCAGAACTCATTTTCTTCATCATTGACTTCAAAGTACCATTGAACTTTTCTACTAGTCCATTACATGCTGGATGGTATGGAGTTGTTACTAATTGCTTAAATGATAAAAGTCGACCCACCTCTTTCATAATGTTGGAGGTAAATTGCGTACCCATGTCTGACAGTACTTCTTTTGGAATGCCAACTCTGCTGAATATCTCTACCAGCGCTTCTGCCACCGTCTCTGTATCGATGTTCTTCAATGCAACCGCCTCTGGATACCTAGTACTGTAATCTACAACAGTCAAAATGTATCTATTGCCTTTGTCAGTAATTGGAGAAAGCGGACCTACCAAATCTACGGCTACTCGTTCAAATGGTGTATCAATAAGTGGCATTTTCTCCAACGGCACCTTCGTCACTTTGCCCTTAGGAAATGTTCTTTGGCATATGTCACAGGATTGGCAATATCTCCTTACATCACCCTGGATTCCAGGCCAATAGAAATTCGACATGATGCGGTCTAGAGTCTTCTTTGTACCAAGATGTCCGCCTAGGATACTGTCGTGCGCAATCTTCATAACTTTCTGTCGCAAAGGTTCTGGAACAACAAGTTGTTTATACAGTTTTTGATCACTAACCTTTTTTGAATGATAATGTCTGTACAACAGTCCTCTTTCAACACTAAACCATGTCTCTATATTTTCACCTATGTTCTTCTTTCTGCCAGTCGCTGCATGCTCACGATACACTTTCAAGGAAGAATCGTCCATCTGAAGTTGTTTCATCTGATCAATTGTCAAATCAGTATCCACTAAATCTGTAACTTTTAGCTTTTTCATACCTTTGTCTTCTTTTTTCTTTTGATTCCTTGTCTGTACTGCTTGAAGAACTTGATTACACTCTTCTCTTTCGTCCTTTCTACACCACTGTGGATCAGGATCCGTCTGATTTCTGGCACCATCGATGTTACCTATGATAAGATCGTAAACAGGTTCTTTCATACATAAAGCATTGATATTACCTGTGAAGTAGGGAGTGTCCACATAGATAGAAGCCTCCTCTACTGTACGAACTGTGCCGTCTATCAGAACACATCTCTGCACTTGTCCAGTCAGCTGATCATCTGTAACCAAATCTCTCTTCACAACAACACCACTACAACCTGAGTCTCTTAATACCTTAACAAAGTTCTCACCAACATAACCCATAGCAATGGGCATCTTTTCACAAACCTTACAGACGCCTCCAATAACAGGTAATACGTGTCCACATGCAAGTTTAACAAGTCCGTCTGTGACACAACACTGCAACAGTTTATGTTGAGGGATGCATGCTGATCCTATGTGAGGCTGATTTTGATACGATATTGCGTTGTCCGTCCTTACTTCAGCAGAATTCTGTAAGTTGGAACTAGAACTGTTATTAGATTTTATGCAATTCAACTCACAGTTATGTTGACTCTGTAACATCGCAGCCTTTTGAGTATTGTGCGAAGTAGGTACTGCTCGAGGAATCTTCTGCTTGGAGAAACAGTTTCTTGCCAAATGTCCACTTTTCCCACAGATGTAACATTTTCTCTCACCTTTTTGCTGTAGTGATCCTTGGTACGTCTGTTGCTTTTGAATGCTGTTACTGTGAACGTTGAAAGTGCTTGATGGTTGCTTCTGAAAAACTTGTAAGTCTTTAGTGAATGAAGTATAACCATGAGCTTCAATAAATTGGTCTGCGAGATTTGACATTTCTTCTACATTTTTCGGATGTCTTTCTTTGAGATACATTCCCAACTGCTTACTACAACTGTTTAAAAACTGTTCTCTTAAACACAAATCTTTAAGACCGTCATATGTTTTAGGACTATCTGCTAAAGACAACCATTTCTCTACATAATTGTTCAGCCTAGCAAAGAATTGTGAAGGATTCTCACCCTGTTCTGGTCTGCTGGAACGGAACTTGACACAAAACCCTTCTTCCGTCAGTTGAAAACGCCTTAACAACGATTGCTTGAAGGAACCATAGTTCAAAGCCTCTGAAACTGGAAGTCTAGAATAAACCTCAAGAGCTTTACCTTTCAGGAGAGCACTAAGATTAATCGCCCATGAAGACTGTTCCCACTTAGCACATGAAGCAAACCTTTCGAATCTCTGTAAATATGAATCAATACAATCTTTAGATTCATCAAATGGAGGTAACTTTGGCAACTTAGCAAGCGATTGAGAAGCAAGACCCAATGGACCTACAGCTAATTCTCCAGCTTTTAATTTTTGTAATTCAGTTTCTTTCTTAAGTTTTTCTAATTCAATTTCGCTCTCAATCTTTCTCGCTTCTCTCTCTCTGCTGCCCTTTCCGCCCTTTCAAAATATTCTCTCTCTTTTCTGTCAACAAACTCTTGTAACTCAGTTCCTTGCAAACCTAACTCTTTTCCTAATTGTAAATACTCCATGGTTACAATATGCAACACAACAACAAACAACAAATGTGAAAATAAGAAAATGACAAAATGCATATGAAAAAAATAGTTTGTACAAAACCTGCCAAAAAAAAAACAATTCAAACAATAGAAATAATATTCAATCAAAGCTTTTTCTACAAAACGTGAAAATAATGCAGGTATATTTGGTAACAGGAAGTCTATCCCACCGCTGCCACCAAAATGTCACAACTGACCTCAAGTTGTGATGGATTCTTTATAGAATTTACTAACCAAAATAAATAATATTTTGGAAGACCTCCTGTGTACCAAGAAACAACAAGATTTATAAAAATTAACAATAAATTTATCTACATATGTACAATAAACATGAAACCGGCCAAAAGTTCAATCATGGTCATCACTGGACAAATTCACACTCCACACCACGTCCATGGTCCACCATATTGTCCATGTTGTCCACCATAGTGTCCCTTCCGGTCCACCATATCCTAAGTAGCCTTACTACGTAACAAATCCTCCCGTCCGAATAAAGCTAATATACAGTTTTGGTCACCTACAATTTTCATAGGGTTTTCTAATAAAATGTTCAAAACACTTATCTGTTCAAAATACTAGATTTTACAAACAAATTACAAAAGAAAACATGTATTTTTGCCGTTTAACAAGTAAATGAATTAGAGCGTAAATATATACATTCTCGCTATATTGCTAACCGTTTTACATCGAATATTGCTCTTTAAAGCTAATAACAAAAATATTGTAAAGTATAAAAACTTACTGAGCTGTGGCATTTTATACATAAAAACCATACTGTCGGCCCCCAGGTCTTGCTCTCAACGCCGCTACAAAACATCCCTGAATCCCAAGATCACACAGCAGGGGAAACAGCTAAAACACACCCAAGTTCACACAGCATGGGTTATATAAAAGGCACACCCAAGATCACTAAGCATGGGTAAAGTATCACTCACGGCGTCCAGACCTCATCTGACAAACACTAGCCAACACCCAGTATAAATAACTGACCAAACTACTCAAACGGGTTCGACGAGTATACGTTGATAAAAATAGTAACAAGTACAACTCAGTGACCAATAGTGCGTAAATGAAATAAACGATAACTCCTAATGCCCAAATACAGATAACTCTTACCAAAACCTGGACAATAGCTAATATATAAACATTGACACAATGTCACTTGTGACAGACAGTCTGTGCTGGTCCTCTCAATGGCGCTGCAAGATATAAACTTTTCCACATGTTTATATCACTGCATGCCTCAAAGTGAGCTTTATAGTCTATCCAAGACCCGGTTCCGTCGTACGTCGCTGGTTTCATTACGGTTTTGCCATATGAACCTCCTGCATCATTACTTTGTGTGCCCTGTGTACTCATATTTGGATTTTGATGGTATCCAATATGGGAACCATGTCCAGCTCCTATCCCTGTTGTCCAGGTCACACTAGTTGTTGCTGTTGAAGCACTTGGTGTACGCCAAGAGAACCCAGGTGTGGATCGTGCCTCGGAAAACACAGGTTGTCTAAGTGAACTTTTCCTCACCGAGTCATACTTACTGGCTCCTCTCATGTCCCTATGCTCATCTTCATACAGCGTGTAACTTGATTGTGGGTAATCTATATGACTAAAAGTGTCCTTCATATTAGTTGTACCCTCTGCGCCACGGTTACTGGCCGATTTTGATGTCAGTTCATACAAACTATTTTCTAACAGTTTGTCTCTAGCATCTACCCCGGAGTCTGGAACTTCGTTAAAAATTGATATTGAAGTCTGGGGCGTCGACTTCATCCTATCTAATGTTTCTCTCAATTTTTCTCTCTTAGCATCTATTGCACTTAGATCAGCGTACAGTTCTGCTTCTAAATTATCCATGGTCATTCAAGGCTTTCTGTAGAGCCGAACGCCAACGTCGGCATGATGTCAGATTCGCACGAGTAGCTACTGGAGATCAGGAAAATATCAGAGAATCTCAAAAGGAATCAAGTATGAGGGATGAAATCAAGCAGCTACGTAATGAAATGCAGGAATCATTAAGATATATAGAAAGGAAAATTGCAGACATGGCTATGACAAAAGAGACTTCAAAAGCACCACGTTCTAATCATTCATTAAAACCAATTGCTTTCCCATATGAATGTTACAACTGCGGGAAGCGTGGTCATAGAATCAAAGACTGCTTCGTAAAGCTTCAGCAAACTAATGAGAGGATACAGAAATCCGAGTCAAACGGTGAACCAAAGACTGGCACAGAGACTCAAACCGGGAATAAAACCAACCAAGTAGTGTCTAGTACAACTGCGGTCAACTAAGGACAATTAAAACAAGAAGCTGGCTTGTTCATCAAAGCTTTGGTGAATCATGTGCCATGCAATTTGTTGGTTGATACCGGGGCAACCTTGACAATTTTAGCGGATAGACTATACAATGAAATAGAAAGTGAAGGGGATGGTAGACTAGAGCCTGTTACTCAAAGTATTCTAGGTGCAGATGGAACACCCCTGCAGGTTAAAGGAAGAGGGAAATTTTCACTTTGACTTGGTGATAGTGAATTTAAATGCCATGCTGTTATTGCAAATATCAAAGCTGATGGCGTCTTGGGTTTAGATTTCCTCAAGTCTAACAAATGTTTATTAGACGTATCTGAAATGAAAATGCATATTTATGGAGTGGAACATAAACTGCATTTACAAAAACATATTGGATGTTTCTGTGTGAAACAAGAAACAATATCTAGGCATAGACGAAGGAAAGTTACATGTTCAGGTCAGTTGCATGCGTCAAATCTCAGCATGGTCACAAAGAGGCAAAAGTTGAAGAAGTCAAGTCAAGGAAAAACCAAAGCTAAAGTGACCAAACCTCATATCGGTCCCACTGACAGTTTGGCTCGTGGTTTGTCTAATCGTTACAAAGGAAAGTTTAAATGTGAGCAGTGTGCTCATATCTTTGGCAAGAAGACTGTGCTTAGAAGACACTTGAACAGAACACATAATTTGGAAAGAGCCAAAAGAAACCGTAGAGTCAGGACTAGTGGGAAAGTCTCCAAGGAAGTCCCCTGGGAGTACAGTTAAGGATAAGGTGTAGGATCCAGGAGAGCTGATATTCAAGGAGACAGATTTTTGCTGAACAATCCTTATAATGTGTCTGTACCTCATTCTGTTGCATGTGTTAAAATTAAAACATTTTTGTAACGAAAGTTTCTTTATAGCAATAGTGTTCCCTGAATTCCAGATAGTTTCAGCCTAAAAAAAATAATATAAATAGTAAAAAAAAATCGTTTAGTTTTGAATCAAATCACATGCGGGACGCATGATATCAGAGGCGTGGGTAATGAAATGGTTAAAGGGCGTTTGAATAAACACATAGAAGACCCACAAAAATGGAATGACCTGACTACCCTTGGAATAGAACAGTCCAAGGGTATATAAAGGGATGCTTTAGGGAAATCAGGCATTCAGAAGTTGGCTGAAGAAGCCAACAGATGAATCAGAAGCTGAGTGAAAAGAATAAAGTAGTAAGGCATTCAGAAGTTAGCTGGAGAAGCCGACAGCTGAATCAAAAGCTGAGAGAAGGGAATTGTAGAATAAAGAATAGAAGCATCAGTGGCAAGTAGTCCTAGGAAACTGATGGTAAGTTCTGAGTGTAGTAAATCTGAAGAAGATTGAGACACTCAGTTCTTATCTATCAATAGGAACCTAGGAAGAGAAACACGGTGCAAAAGCAATACCCAGTCCACGTCTCTAGATAACAAACAAAAATTTAATATAGTGTGATTTTCCCTCAGATTAAGCGGCCGTACAATTATTAGTACAATCATTTACTCAGATAGAGTAAGAGAAAAAGCTATATACTGTACATATATCCCTTGTAGAACCCAAGCATACACGTTACATTTATTTAGGAAACGGGGGTGTCATATAGTAATACTATACTTACTTAAAATTTCAACCGTTTTATAGCACGGTTGCTACTTAAGATGCCTTCATAATTGTTGAAGGGATAGCGACCCTCTGATAATACAAATAACTTTCAGGGTACAAAATAGTAATACTACTCACAGTTAAGTTTCCTGAGACCTATGAGTAGTCAACTTGATGAGATGAAACATATGATGGCAACATTACTTTCTATTTCTTTTGCAAATTTCTTTGTTATTGTTTTATTAAATTTAACAATAAAACATTTAAATCCAACATCAAATGCCTTATTAATTGAACAAGTTGTATCTTTTTAAATACCATTTTAAAAATGGTTTAATATTTCAAGTACTTAATACAGTATTTTAATTAGAATTTTTTCACATGAAGAAATATATAAAAGAAAGATAACTCC